ATATATATATATATATATTTGTATCAAAAATCCGTGGTAACATGTTGTTCATCACACCTTTGTCAATAACTACATTATGTTGGTTATTTCACCTGCACAATTCACAGCATTATCTTCCTAACAGATTGCTATCTACACCCATTTAGGATTATTGAGTTAAGGTCCAAAAACATGTCTTTGCACCTTAGTGCAATGACAGCCCTACCTGTTACAGATTTGTTGATCAGCATTCCTAGTCCCTAAGAATATGCCACATATGAATAATTGATTCACAAAATTAGAAAATGGAGGTAATAACTTTATTAAAGCCACGTGAAAATATGTTTCAGGGTATATACTGTAAAAATCTTAATTTGTTTTGATTGTGACTAGAGATATCATCTGTTTGTCACACTCATCACTATATAATCCACTGATGGCAATGAAAAAACACTTTTTATTTGAAAATAATTCATACAATATTTGATATAATGTCCTTGAGATGACTGAATAATAATAATAATAATAATAATAATAATAATAATAATAATAATAATAATAATAATAATAATAATAATAATTAGAACAACAAGACACCTATCTTACCTAACACCTGTCAGATTTCTTACTTTCATTCCCTTAGGACTTGAGAACATATCTTTAAACTGCAGTCAGAATGTTACATGTCTCTTTGCAGAATTGTTAAAAGCTCACAAAATACCTCAAAACTTTTCACTTTACATTAAAACAACTACATTTTATTGATATTCAAGCAATTAACAGGGTTTATGTATGATATAAAACAAGTCTTTTCAAAATAATCTCATCCCTATTGTTTTTTATGCATATGATTGTCCTTGGTAGTCCAAATTATGTACCTGTAGTCCAAGTAACATTTCTTAATTCTAAGTAATTTATAAAGAATCAGTTTTTGATCCAAAAAAAAAAGGTTTTACCTTCTTGGTCTGTCAATCTCACAATGGGCATGAACATGACAGTGCAGCAGTTTCTTGTCAAACGCTGGACAAACTTTCCATGTCTTGTCGCAGTTGTCACCAGTGTATGAAAACTGACAGGAGCCAGGCTTGCACTTTCCGTCACCATTGATAGTATTGTGACAAGTCCCCTCAATGCATGTACAAGCTGTAATAATTAATAAAAATAATTCTATAAACTGTGATAGAAAAGTACTTTGTTGTTTAAGATATCAAGCATTTTTTATGTTTCATCATGAAACAAGAGACAATGAAAAACCCACTAAGGGACCATTCCCAGAGATATCGTACTAACTTTGGATCGATCTATCTCCAAGGGGATTCTCACTAAATTGCTATCAAATTAAGCGGCTTAAATGTCTGTCACGCTTACTAAAGCTGTTAGGGGGTAATTAACTACCAGAGGCCAAGCATACACAAAAGTCAATTACCCCCTCACTGATTCGATAGGCCTGACAGACATTGAAGCTGCTTAAGTTGATAGCAATTTAGCATGAATCCCCATGGAGTTAGATCGATTCTAATGGATCGATCTATGCATGGGAACCCCGTTTAATTAACGTTTAATTAACTGATTGATTTATATCTTTAAAAATGACTTTATTAAAAGGACTTTATTAACAAACACTTTTAAATCTACATTATGTCAGACTGATGTGAGTAGATGTTGTTACTCACTGACTGCTAGGTGGTATAGTGGCCAGGGCCCTCTTATAACATGTCAGATAGATCAACCCTNCAATGTAGGTCGATCTAATCTATGAGAATGGGGTGAAAGGCCTGCTTTCACAACTGTACTTGCATGATTATTCAGTCTCTTGCAGACAATAAATGACTCTATCAATCTGTGAAACTCAAAACATGACATTTATGCAGTGTACTTCAAAGAAATGGTTCATTTTCAATTATGTTATACTACTCTGTGCTTTTATAACATATAAATTGTAACTTGCTTAAATAATAAAAAAAGTTTGTACCAGTACATATAGCAGTTGGAAATGTTTGACATAAGCTAATGGTGATAGAATTTAAATATATAAGTCAAAGGGAAGGCACCTGACTGATTAAACATAGGGGGGTGATAGGTTGTCACATATCTATTACAGTCTGTTGGAAGTGAATGGAGTTTGATCATCAAAATTAGATGTGTATAGGCCTTGTTAGATTACATCCCACAAATACCAATAGTACACATGTGCACCCAGTACACTTCATTACACCTAACTGTAAAAGTTGCATCATTACGTTGCTACTGGGGAATTCAGTTAATCAGTGAAGATAGCTCAATTAATGTCCCACATGGCTGAGAAACTAAAGAGTACAAGTTGATTTAATTTGTTGGCTATGTCTGGTACAGCAGGTAAGAAAAGTGATAACGACACAATCTCATTACTGTATTTAGGCTTCCTTCAGTGGCAGCACTCCAGATAGCTTCACAGGCCTATAGACTTATGTCTGTTTGTGTGTGTGAGTGTGTTGGGGGGGGGGGGGGAGAGAGGCACAGAAAAAATGCCCTTTTGGCCAGAAAAGGTGAGCTTTAAATCAAAATTCGATCTATAGTTTTATACTATATTAATCAAGCATGGATAAAAATGTCTAATTTTTCAGAACAGATGCCGATCTCTTTGAAACTGCTGGCTTAACAGGCCTGATAATACATGTAATAAGCTGATAAAATCCCACAACATAGTCATTAAGTTCCCCAGGCATTTTTACCCTTTTTTGCATGCCATTCCATAATAAGTTGTTAATTATGGTGTATTATTTATTGTAATCATTATATAATACCCCATACTTCCCACTTGTTATTTGCAACTTTAATTGTGATATTTAGGCTTAGACAGGCATTGTATAGGATATTAGGTAAACATGTAGGCTTGTGTATGATATATGTCTCAATACTTTTGCCTTTTCTGGTAAAGACAGGAAATAACTTCTTCTCACAGGCAGGGTAAGAGCACTGTCTCTATGGTATTAGCTGGTTGAATAGCATCTCTGCTTAACATGTATATGATTAAATGCATTCAGGTGAACCTGTTGATTGTCTTTGAAAAAAATTTGGGTTGTCATCTCTATCGCCTCTTCCAAATAGCCAAATGCAAGGGTGGATCCAGAGATATTTTCTGACAGTCTTCCATATTATCTTTGTTGATCCATCCTCTATTTTTGACCATCTTCTGACAGAGAAAACATTGGATACCCAACAATGTAAACTTCCAGAAGACCCAGAAGACAGCCTCAATCCACCCCTGAAATGGACAGTCATTAAAAAAGGCACTACAGGTAGAACCAACCATTTTTTAAAAATGCTCTATATAAAAAAGCTGCCTTTGGGTTTGACCATTTCCGCAGAAAAAAAGGTCATGTATGCTCCACATATTGGTACACATGTTGCATTTCCTGCTTATGTTTGCAATTACACTATAAATGTGGCTGTCATAAAACTTGGGATTACAGTTGGAATTGTAGTGCTCGCAAATGTAAGTTGACAAATTTTTTCACTTTCAATTTGCTTAAGTTTTTTTTTCATCTGCATGTTGAAGAGCTGAATACTTACCAGTAAGAGTTGGACTCAAACAATTTATCATCATGATCAAATATAAACATATATAAATAACCATTTGACCAGAAAAATAAGTAAATGTTTTTTTCCATTTATGCATGTATTATTCACAAATAATGTGGATTTTTGAACTTGGTTAAACAAGTTTACAATCTTAAATATACAGCATTTAGCAAGGCAACAATGTCCAGAGTAATATTTTGGTTCAAGACTGGGGTTTATAAGTTTTTTATAAGAAGCTATTTTTGTTGTCACAGAGGAGCAATTAACAGTCTTGATTGCTGTAGGGGGGGCCTTGGCAGGGACTTGTGAAGTTGCAGTGCCTGAGTAGTTATGCAAACAATTACTAGCCATGTAATCATCCTTGAGATTTCATTACGGGGTCACAGCATGGAGAATAACCACAGTGGTGAATTTAGGGGAGTGTTTGGGCGGACCTGACCCCCCTTCGATTTCTGAAAAAAATCACCCCAATGGTCCCATCTTGAAATTAGAACTTTGACTAGCTGAATCATATTTCTAAACTGTACCAAATGGCATCTCGCCCTTTAAAATACCAAAAAGTTTTCGGGCCTCTGAGCAGGCCCAGACCTGTAGGGGGAGGGGGTCAGTTTTGCATCTGCGAACCCCCCTTCAAATAATCTTGGATCCATCCCTGACCATCAATCTAACCAGAGACATATCTAGTGAAAGATCAAATTGTGGCTCTGATAGAGGGTAGCCCGGGCCATCCCATTTCTCAATTTTGGCCCACAAATGGTTATAAAAGGTCCATTTTTTTAAGAACATCCACCCCACCCCCCTCCTTTGAAATTGCTGGGTGCCAGCCTACACGATGAGCATGTATTGTCCACATTTTTAAAGTGTTCATTGGCCCCATGTGATTAATTTGTATAAACTACATTGTACTGCTGATATGAATATATGGGCCCCAACTTAAAGTGGACTACAACTGGTACAACAAAAACCAAAACAAAACTGATCCCTTCAACATGGATAAGACTGCAATTTAGTGAAAAATTCTGAAAATATGGTGTGGGGTCCAAACGGGATTTACACAAACTAAAGTAGACCTAATTTTGGGTCTAAAAGTTGAGACCAATTTTGAAGCTAAAGCTGAAGTAGAATATGACTAAACCCTTATAGAAATTCACTAGGGACCTGACCTAGCCAAACCAAGGCAACCTGGAACCATAACAAATAGTCAATACAATAGACTTCTGGGGACAAAATCTTCTCACAGCTTGCCAAATGGTTTCCCTGTGAACTTAATTGGGTTCATGGTGCCTAAATTGTAAATTTTACACAGGAGAGCTTATCCTCAACATACTAGTTTAAATAGAACCTTTAGAGAAAACTCTGTGAAAAAGGTGCATTTTAATTACTAACACCAAGGAGTTTATATTTTCACCTCCTTTGGTCTTTCTGTTTGTCACAGCCTAACTAAAAAGTTATGGATGAATTTTGATGAAATTTTCAGGATAGGTTAGAAATGACTGGGCTAACTTAAACCTACTATCAGGTTTTTGATGGTGGTCTGGATCACATTTTAGTTTCATTTAGTAGCTTTTTAGTTTCATTTTTTCAAAGTTTTTGTTATTCATGGCTTTGGGAAGAGGGGAGGTATCCCCCTCCTGTTCCCTACTCCACCATAAATAAATGTCCATATCACCTAGCAGCCTAAAATATTTAGGGAAAAATAGTGATATAAAATTTTTGGTAGGACCAGTAGATATTTTGCCCGGTTGGTCTGAACAAGGAGTTACAACTGTTGTAACTCCTTGGTCTGAAGGACCAGTTATGGGCCAGAGTTTTCGCCATGTCTGCAAACACAAAAATATAGCATTTCATGGGTTACAAGGCTAGAGCATGGTGCAACAAAGTACTTTTTGGTGTGTGGGCACTTTTTACAGTTTTAATTGGATTCAGCATAAGAGCGCATCTTGAATTTAACAAAATAAAGAGGAAAGTGGGAGGAAAACAACTATGTTTCTTGGCCAACTGCTTCCTCTTGGGATTAAGTCTTTGAAACAGAGGCCGGACTTGTGAAATTCAATACAGTATAATAGAAGTGTATGTTCATACAAGTCCATCTTCTTTCTTTGAATGGAAATCTTTCACTTGTGCCCCCTTAGAGACAAAGTGTATAACATAATGCAATGCACAGCAATTTTTCATATTACCTTTAAATACATTTTAGAATTGAGTTTAAAAAATACACAGTAATGTTGTACTGATGTACAGACCTTATAAACAAAAATGAAAAAACACCAAACGGCAGAACTGTTACATTGGTGTCCAGGTTTAACATCAAGTACTCAGGTTAACTGGTTGATCCAGATGAGATGGAAGAAATTGGCCAAGTAGAAGCAACACCATAAGATACTATTCATTGTATACAAAAAAAGTTTAATTTTCACCTTGGCTTTTATTTTGCAAATTTCAATTTTATGGAACATTTTATATCATCAATAAATAATATCATTTATTTTAAATTATAGTTGGAAAGTAATAGCATAATTGTCCACATTAAAATGACTGTGCTGACTGCCAAACTCAAAAGTAGTAGATGGGGTTCGATGGGG